TCCTTCACTTATCTACTCACGTGAAAGAGAGGGAGAGAGAGGGAGAAGGAAAACCAGGGAGATAGAAGAGAGGGGAGAGTGAGAGAGTGAGAGAGAGACAGAGAGAGAGAGAGAGAGAGAGAGAGACAGAGAGAGAGAGAGAGAGAGAGAGAGAGAAAGGGAGGGAAGAAGAATTCTCACTTTCCTATGGAGAACAACTAGAAAAGAAAATGTTATTTTGAAGCAACTCATGAACAAACACTTGGAGTGTCCATGTTACTATGAAAAACATTTTTCTAATATGATATCAGATCTGTGAAATTTGGGGTTAAAAAAAAATCTTGGGGCAGCCGGGTGGCTCCGTTGGTTAGAGCACATGCTCTGAACAAGGTTGCCGGTTTGATTCCCAGATGGGCCAGTGAGCTGCGCCCTCTGCAACTATTGGGTCGTCAGGAAAGTCATGACATACTTTTCTATGTTTTTCAATAAAAAAATGCAACATGACTTTCCTGATGACCCAAAAGATTGAAGACAACTTGAGCTGAGCTGCCGGTGGGCAGCCAGATGGCTCAGCTGGTTAGAGCACGTGCTCTTAACAAGGTTGCCAGTTTGATTCCTGCATGGTACAGTGGGCTGCACACACCCCCACACCACCCACCCCGCAACTGGACTCAGAGCTGAGCTGCACCCTCCACAACTAGATTGAAGGACAACGGCTTGACTTGGAGCCGCTGGGTCCTGGAAAAAATAGTTACCCAATTAAAAAAAAAAATTAAAAAAAGAAAATCTTGAAATATATATACATTATCCTTTTCTTAGAGTCTGTGTTTGGGAGTCCAACAGACCCTGAGTGTGAAACACTTAGTTTGCATTTTATTGGCTGAGTGGTCTTAGGCAAGTAGTTTAAACTCACTCCATTTTAATTTTCTCATCTGCAAAATGGAATACCCACCTTGCATGGTATTTGTCGGATTTAAAACATAAAATGCCACAATAAATTATAGCTACCCTGCCTTCCAAGTAATCAATACAAAATATACATGAATAAGTAACATAAATGTGTTGGATAACCAAAACAGATTCAAATTTAATTAAGTATTGTATTATACTTGTATTACAAAATTTGTCATAAAATTCCTGCAGTTACTAACTCTCCAAAATAAAAGTGTACTCCTTTGAGTATTTTTCTAGTATAATCATTGTATATGTCCTTTTACTATTGGGTTGTCGGAAAAGTCATGACTCATTTTTGCAACAAAAAACATGGAAAAAATACGTCATGACTTTTCCGACAACCCAATATTCTCAGGTGGCAACATTCTGAGAATCCATTGTGTACTAGTTCCCATGGAGAAAAATAAAACCCCATATTTAAGAAGTTTAGAATACAAACAAGAACACAAGAGGGAACAGTTCTTTGTGCAAAGTAAGCAAATACATTCTTATGGATTTAGTCATGAGGAAAAGATACCAGAGATAAACACCAAGAATATAGTTCAACTTAAGTAGGTAAGTTTAAAGGTCAGAACAAAATGAAATTAGAAAAAATTGTATATAAGAGATGCTTTACAGAATGATATATCCCTTTCATGTTATTTTAACAAGATTTAATATATGTGACTATTCGTCAGTCTTCCGAGTTAAAATTGTTCAGGTAGCCATAAGGTCTAGAAACATAAACAAATAATGCATAATATGTAGTTGACCGATGTTCTATGAGATGTTCAATGTGCTGTTCCTCACTAGCAATTCATAGTTCAATAATAAACTGTGCAAAATTGTAAGGAACAACATACACTAAAGCAGCATTTCCATCAGTCCTTGCACATCCATCTACAATGCATTGCCTCAGATGATTTGTTTCTAATTTTCAATGAATAAACGTGTGCCTATAGCATAGCCTAGAAGTAATCAAAGGAGCTCAGTCTATCAAAAAATATATGTAGTGTGTTTCCAGACTTTGTGATCACCTGTATTTTAATTTTTTAAAAGACTCACCTACTGTAAGTCTTATGAACATCTCTGCAACTTGTATTATACCAGAAAAAAGTGAATACTAAAAATTAGATCATGGAAAAACAAAAATTTATTACTTTTGCTTTCAAATAGTTCTACTGAAACAAGGCCCAGTTGAGACCCCCACAGTTGAGGCCTCGCTGAGTCCCCGGCCTCACCTTTACTTGACCTACCTGTAGTTTAACAATCCCCCTGCAGCTTGAGCTTGAGCTCAGAATGTCCCCTGTCCGACCCAGTTCCCTGTTTTAGAAAATTACTCTGAAACTTATGATTAATACCCTTAGGCTTATTGATCACAATCTCAGTGTTCTATCAGGCTACTCCCATCATTGTTCCTGGGTTGCTGACTCCACCAGAGAATCCCGTGGCCACAGGGAAGGCTCCATGCAGACCCCCGGAACCATCACTGTAGCTTCTGGAGGAACGCCCAGATTTTCCCTTAAATACCCTAAGCCAGACAGAATGTAAGGCAGTTTTTGGAGGTGTTAACCCGCTGTCTTCTCAGACCACCGGTGCTCTGATAATAAACGCTTATTCTATAAGCTCCAACTCCTGTGTCGGTCTATTGGCTGAGCGGTGCAGGCAGGACGAGCCCCGGACTCAGTGGATCTACGGTTTTACTACACCGAAACATTTTGTTGAAATGAAGTGATTTTTAATATATATAAAAAGACGCTCTAAATAATATTCAGGATACATTACGAGTTTGGTTTTAAAACAGATTTGAATTTAAAACAAGTTTTATTCACAATGATTTCAATAAATCAGGCACTCCGGAACACAGTGTGGAGGTGCAATAATAATTATGTGATGACTTCTTAATAGTCCAAAGGGATAAAGATCGTTTTCAACCACGGAAATTAAATCTTTCTATAGTATTAACCCTTAGGGGCTACTCTCCTTTATAGACCACAATATTATTGTCAGTTTCATAGACTTTTACTTTATAAAGAAATCCCACAGGAAGAAATTTCTGGAGGTTTTCCCAGATATATACAGCTACATTTTCTGTTGTGCTGTAGAAGAAAAGAAGATGAAAAACAAATAAATAAAATTTTATGTTTACTATTATTTACAGAGAACAGGAAATTCTAATTTTAAAAGCTATCATTAAACTAAAACTTTAGAGATCACACAGCAATCAGATAAAACGTTACAGTCAATTCTTCTTTCTTCCTATCTATATAAGATAGTCACACCTACCTTACAATATCTGCAAAGTATGGCACATCTAGATCCAAATTCTTATGGTCAAGGGGCTTCATAATTGCCTCCTACAGACAAAACAAAGGAAAACCATCAATTCCATTTATGGCTCAAATTGCAAAATGTTCCACCTTTGCCTCTAAAACTTATCATTCAGCCACTAACTCAATACTTGTAACTACTTTATCTGTGTCTTACAAAGCAACCTCAGAAAGTTTAAACTTGTGAAATAAAGTAAGCTCTCCATAACGACTGGTTCTCCTCTTACTGATGCAAAGAGGTTAAGAAATCCAAAGGTAGGTAATTCACTGGAGATTTCTCATAACAAGCCATTGTGATTCAGAATTAGGTTTAACACTTTTTGCATTCTAGCCAAAAAGTTACCAAAAATACTTCTCCATGACAGTCTCACCATTAGGACAATGCCACAATGTCATTAAGACAAAGATCCAGTGAGTACTACATTTTATAAAGCAGACGAAGACTGAAATAATGTTAGTAATTCTAAATTTCAGCTATAACGAGTACTTTAAGAATTATCTTGGGCTCTTAGAAGAAAAAATATACATAAAGACTATTGATTCTTAATGCTTATTATATTAACATGTTTTCCTTTGTCAATGGCAAGAATTATAATTGCCTTATTTTTTCTAAGTTTTTGCTTTTAGCTATATTGTATAAAATCTAAGAATTGGTGAAACAATCTAATTTTCCATATGGCATGGTTCTAAGACAGGTACATTAATAACAATAACAGTAATCATTTTTTGAGCAAAACCAGAATCACATAAAAAGAATAAGTCCTAAACCAAACAGCTTTAAAACAAATCAGATGATATCCATATGGGTATCAAGAAAATATTAATAAGTATCTTTGTTTTATCTTCAATTCCAGTTCTGGTTCCAACTTTTCCATTGAAGCCTCTTCAACAGGGTTCTTTCTAACTACTCTGTACGCCATAATGAGCCATTTTACTAACGAGGGTGTATGTCCTTCAAAGTGGTAAACAAAGGTGTAGTTAATCATATCGCTTGCTTGCGACATCTCATAGCTCCCACAGTGTTGTCTTATACAATGCTCTGTGTTTATCTAGTTTATGTCCCCAGTAAATGCAAGAACTCTGCCTTATCAGCTTTCCTAAAAAGTACTTTGAGCACAGTGCTGTTTGTTCACTCACTCATTCTCTTATTCATTCAGCCAACTTATTGAGCACTTATTATTCTTTACCTCCCAGAAAAAGTAATGTGAGCACTCTGTGGGTAAGGGCTGTTACCTCATTCATGTTTGCATTCCTACTACTTAGCTCAAACACTGATGTACAGTAGGCAAGCCTGTTCAATACATGGATTGTAAGTAATGTGAAAGAAGTAATGATTATTAATGACAGCATTTGCATGAAACAAATGTCAAATTTTAGAACAAAACTAAGGAGCAGAGCTGAAGCAAAGAATTAAACAGGTGAAATGATAGAATAAAAACTATGCTGGATAGAAGGAAATCTACTCCCAATTTTGTAAAGAACTAACCATATGACCTAGGGCAAGTCAGTTAACTGTTCGGCATCTTTCAAATTTAATCTATGGCATGAAGAAGGTGGCTCAGGTAGTCTCTAAAGCAGCGGTTCTCAACCTTCCTAATGCCGCGACCCCTTAATACAGTTCCTCATGTTGTGGTGACCCCCAACCATAAAATTATTTTCGTTGCTACTCTATAACTATAATTTTGCTACTGTTATGAATCGTAATGTAAATATCTTTTTGTTTGCCGATGGTCTTAGGCGACCCCTGTGAAAGGGTCGTTTGACCCCCAAAGGGGTCGCGACCCACAGGTTGAGAACCGCTGCTCTAAAGTCTCTTACAATGCAAGAATTCTAAAATGATACAATCAGCTAAGTCCTTTACTGAACACATCCTTTTGTGTTATCCTTAAGATGAACTGCCCTAATGAGTTTATAATAAAGCTACAGTGAATAAAACAGGGTACTGTTAAAATCTATGATCAAAGGCATAAGGAAAATTCAGAGAAGGAAAAGAAAGCGTCAATGAGAAAGCTGTATCTTGAAAGAATGGTAGAATTTGTTAAATGTAGGAAATCAGGATGTGCCAGCAAGGAATACAAGACGAACATGCTACATTCATTCCCATCATTGTAATACAACTGTAACTAATTTCCACTAAGTCCCCTAAACACCATCAGAAGAGCATAAAAGTAGTGCCTCCATCTACGCTCCTACTCCCACACCCAATTCCACTTACACAGTCACAGAACTTCTGGAGATACTTGGATGGGGAAGTGAAAAGGGGGCCATCAAATATTATACTTAGAGGACAGCACAAAATAAGCACCAAACATGCCATTACCTCCATATATTCTTTGAGGTCAGTCAAATTCATAATCATTCCTGTAACAGGATCGATCTAAAGAATAAACAAAGGTGAATATTACTATAATACGCTTTTCATATTTAAACCTCGGGTAAACTATTAAAGGCTGTACAATGTGCAGAAATTGTGCCCATGTGTGCCTTCGACCCCAACACAATCATCAATCCCAGAACGGAAACACCAAGTGCTCCAGGCCGCCTTTTCATTGTACTGCTCTTCTGTCTGGGAGAGGAGAGGAAAGGCCTGGAGAGGCAGCAGCTCACCATACACAAAGCACAGCCATGAAGCAACACTGATTTGAACAGAATTTTTCAACACAGAATCTATCACGCTGGCGGAAAGAAGGCCCGGCCATCTGTACAAACCACATGGATATATTCAGCACGTACCTCTCCATGTACTGTCACTGCAACTATGGGAAAGAAAACAAAATACCAAAAAAACCAGCATGACTTTCAACAGATTAACATCCAAGCACAAGTTAGCAACATACGTTAAGTATTAGATCTCTGCCCCACAAAGCTATGCTTATATTTTCCCCCAAATATCTGTCCTCTTAGTTGAGATCTTTTGATCAAGCAAAGCGAGAGTCAACCAAGACAGAGAGGCTTAGCAGGAGCTCTGCCTAAACAAAGAAGCTTGGCCAAGGGTGTGAATCCTGCTTATGAGGTTGACGTATTAGGTAGGATCGAGATGCTGTTCGATCACTGCCTGTAAAAGTAGAAAATGTACAGGAAGAAGTCCAGCTACACAATGACCTGGTCCAATTTGGGGTGGTACCTTTCTAAGCCAGCAAAACTATTACTGGGCCTAAAACTCTTATCCCTTTACTCACACAAATGTATACAGTTTACAGTAACAATGCTTTGCAAATTAACAAGGGCTGGTATGAAGCATTTGAAAAATCTTGATAATCAGAATGCTTTACAAATTAATACCTTCTTTTTTCCAGCTCCATGCAAACACCATTAGGTATTATGTGGTAAGTGAGCAAACTAAGAATGAGGGCTATCATAGACCAAGTAAGAGGCAGTAACTAAACTACAAATCCTGATCTCCTGACACTTTTTTCTGGTCTTTTCTTCATCGTATCATATGCTGCGATACTTGACAGCTTACGTAGCTGTTTTTGAGACATCAGCTATATAGTTCAAAGAATCACATGTCTTATTCTTGCATAAATTAATTACTTTCTTAGAACACTGCTGACGAAGTTTTAGACCCAACCAATTTTCCTGCCATACAGTGTATTTCTAGCCAATAATCCCCTTTTGTCAGTCATTATTTACTCAAAGAATATCATGTATTTTAAACATTAGCCTAAGAGATACCTAATTAGAATGAAACATGGTGCCAGTATCACATTATGTATACTAAGGCCAAGGAAAAAAATTATTTAAACCATTCATTGTTTTGGACTGTTACAGAGCAGACAATTACAAGATAAAAGTTAAGATATATCCAACCAAGCCAACAGCTCTTTTCATTTTAAACTTCCATTTAATGTTTCATTCCAGGCTCAAAGCATTACTGCTCTATCCATAAGGTTTCTTCTTACTCATTCAGACTATATTTGCTAAAACACTCGCTCTTATTCAAAGGGCTAAAATTTCATCAGTTTTTCTCTCACCTTTATAATTGTGCCCATGGCCATTGAGATTGTTGCATTTCCCAAACAGTTTCAAGTTTTCTTCATTACTCAGAGATTGGCTGACAAAAAAAAAACACCAAAAGTCAACAGGACAGAAGTTCAGACACCTTTTCTGTTCCCTACATTTATTTGTTCTAGCCTTTGAAAAGCTTCAGTTTATTATTTTAGCTCACCAAATGGAGAATCATAAATCAATTTGATTTCACTATTCAGCTTTATGTCGGCTACCAGTGTATGCCCCCTAATTTGACTACCGTATCATACAAATTAGCATAAACAAATTCAATACTCTTGTTCCACATCAAGTTCCAAAAACTGATCTGCTCAAGGCCCTTCCATTTTTCAATTCAAACATTTACTGAGTACCTACTGCATACCAGGCATGGGCTAAATGAAGCAAGGGCATACAATATAAACAAAAGCTGCCTGTCCTCAAGTAGCCTGAAATCTCATTTCTCCTGAGGAATAATCACATGACCTAGCAGTCTCTTCTTTAACAATCCTGATTTATTATGCCTCAAATACTGCCTACTGATGACTTCACCAATCCACCGAGGGGCATTCAAATCAGGTGAAACTTAAATTACTATACTCAGCTGCTGTTTCAGGAAGAGAACACTTTTCTTAATGTAGTTTTATACCTCTACCTGGCCAATCTTGGCATCTTTAATGAGTCCTTACCCCCCTCATATGTTCGAGCTTTGTATTATACAACCCCTTTCTTTTTGAGACCCTCTTTATTATTTCCCCCACCTTCTCCTGCTCATCGTCTTCTTACGTTTAGAGTGCTACAGTTCACAAAGCTTTTGCACAAAATTATCTCACTGTACCTTCCACAATATTGGCCAGATTGTACACTCCGGACAGAAGGCAGAGACAGGTGTGTTTGATCACTGCTGCATCCCTATTACCTACCACCACCTAACAAGCACGCATGAAATAACTGTGCAGTGAATGAGTGGGTGGATCTTGTTAGGTAGAAATTATTATCCTCGTTTTATAGACGAGGAAACGGATGTTCAGAGAGCGGAGCTTGCTAATGAGTAGCAAATCTCTGCTCAATGGTAATTCTTCAGTGCCATCAAGCAATCTGGGTGCCCTGGGTTCAAATTCCAACTGTGCTGCTTGTTCTCAGAGCTGCCTTAGGAAAGTGAACATCTGGGTTCATTCTGTCTTGGGTAAAAAGGGGATAAAACTTGCTAGGCTGTAATTTTATTAGTTTACGGTAGCTAATACTCCTGGCATATAATAGTAAGTAACATTTATTGAGGATTTACGGTGTGCCTGGCACTGTGTGATCTGGGCAAGTTTAACTCCTATGAACGTTACAGCAACCCTTTGAGCCCAACTAGGGGAATCGGCGGGACAAACAGGTGGCTTCAGGTCACAGAGCCAGCGAGTGCAGCCCCTCGGTTCCGCACCCAGGACCGTCTCTCTCCGGAGTCGGCTCCGTTACCCACCACGCTTCGCACTCCTCTGGAGCCTAGTCAACTCCAGATGTCACTGTTACGTGGTCCAAGAAGCTCAGCGGCCACGTAAAGGAACGGGCGCGCCCCACCCACTCCTGGGTGCGCACACCTGGCCCTCCCTCACCCAGGCCCCGCCCCAAGGCTCAAAGGCCTCGCTCCACACCATGGGCACTGCGGGCGCAACCCACCTGTGGAGCCGGTGGGTCGCGCTGAAGGAGACGAGGCGGGACACTCGCGCCCGGCGGCGACAGCCCGAGGCCGAAGCGCTCATCGCCTAGCGGTACCGCGCCGCGCAGGGTCAGCACCTCCTTCCTCGGCCCGCGGCGGAGTCTGGTGTTGGCGAAGCCTCCGTCCGCGGCTGCGCAGTGCAAGCTGTGCCCGCTGGACGCGCTCTGCGCTTCACCCAGCGGCTGGGCTCCCTCTGCCGGCCTGGAGGCAATAACTGGCGTCCCTTACTATCGATCTCGGGATAGCACGCGTTCAGATCGCTAGGCATACCTAGCAGCGGTCAGATGAGGTGGATGGGGTTTCACTGTCCATTTTATGTTTGCTCAGCCTGAGGCCGCGTCACGCGATTAGGGTTAGTCTGGGCATACTTTGGGTCCTGGAGATACTTATTTGAGCCGCCCCTCCGCTCACTTCTTGAAAGCCCTGGGTTACAATAGAAACCTCCAGTCACTTGTTACCCTGAGATAAGTCCCAGGGCCCGTCTACTTATTTCAGAAAGGGAGCAGGAATTTGAAAGCGCGTGTAGGACCACGTGGCTTTTCAGAGATGATACTACCTTTGGACAGTCTGTAAAGATTCTTAACTAAGGATAATTCTGAAGCTGTCCTTATCCACATGCATGCATGAACCCATTTATCACTCTGGGTTGGGACTGTGAATATATGCATCTAAGAACACACACACACACACACACACACACACACACACACACACACAAGCAATTTCATGTCCAGTGTAGACACTTCCAGAGTTAAAAAATCTTGTTTCCTCACTCATAAGGAACGTCTAAACTACTCAGTTCCCAGTACCATGTCACCTCTTGCCTCCAATCATGCTTTCATTAAATATTTGTTGAATATCTACTATGAGGTTGGCACTGTTCCAGGCACTGAGAAGGACAGATGAAATCGTGGGAATGGCAGAAATATAAGCCCCAATGGTAATTTCTCTCAAATGTCTCTGGTCTCCAGCTGTATGTTCTGTTTGTTCTGTATTAAATTATAAACGTTATATATGTAGCAAACATTCTTCACTCATTTTTCAAATATTTTTCTCACCTCCCCTTTGTGCTATATTTTGTGCTGTAAAGAACTTGAAAGAATTACACACTTCAGAGATTTTTGAGATAGAGACTATTTAGTTCAGTCTTCTCACTTAACCAATAGGCCCAGGTTAGTGAATTACTCAACCAAGATCACCTATAAACAATATTTCCCAGAAATTGACTACATCAGAGATAGTGATTACACAAACACTTTACTTTATTCCAAAAACAGTTTAAAGAATCAAAATAAAATAAAAAGTAAAAAGTAGAAATTTCTGAGAAATTATTTTACTTATTTGCTTTAGCAAAATATGTTGTTGAACTTGAAGAGCTCTTGTTCTAAAATTTTTTATTAAAGCTAATTCTATAAAAATATATTCAACAAATTCACCCTCACTGATCCAGTTGAGTTGAATTGTGTCCCCGCAAAATTAATGTGTTGAAGTCCTAACCCTCAGTACCTTAGAATATAACTTTATTTAGAAATAGGGTCTTTATAGATGTAATCATAAAGAGAAGGTCACTAGTGCCAGGAGCTGCTGGATGTCTGGGGCACTCTGTCTTAGAGTTTTAAAAGAATTGAATTTGGAAATGACCAGCTTAATCTAAATGGGCTAATTATCATTAATATCTCAATGCTGTTTGGTTAATTAAAATATAGTCTACAGAAGTCAGAATTGGCCTTTTTTGTGCTGAGCTGGAGGTCTGCAGTAAGGGTTAAGCCTGGCTGCTGACAAGCTGACAGACTCTCAGGCCCGGGTGAGCAGTGTGGGAAGGTTGCTAGAAAGATATTCTCCACTGTGCTGCTGCAAGCCTACGTCACAAACAACCTTGAAAGTTACAGAGTGAATTGCCAGCCTGTTAGCAGTTTCTACTTGCTATACTTTATCTCGCTTTGGGAACATTTGTTTCCCCACTCCCTCAAACTCCACTCCCCGACCCGGAGAGGGGGGGTGGGGGGGGGAACGGCTTACTAGCAAAAATTTTAACCGCCATCCCTTAGAATAGACCTTGGGAAGAAAAAATAATGAAACTATGTAGAACACAAATGGGTAAAAGTTTGTCTCTGAAAAAATAGCTCAATGATGTAATGGTCAACTGTCCAGTATAAAAAGGGACATGCTGTAACAATAAAATGAGACACTTCTCTTCTAGAAAAAGCGCTTCTGTGTCTCCGAGTGTCTTTCTTTTTTCCTCGCAACGCCGTCTCCACCAAAGGGGTTCCCCTGGACTTGTGGGAGCTGGTCTCCTGCACACTAGGGTGGGCACTAATCTCTTTTTCCCTTACTAGTGGACCACATACCCCTGTCCTTGAGTCTCTGGACACTGGCCAGTGATGAACTGGGCTTAGAGAGAGGAAGAGGCCCTGCCTAGGCTTTGAGCCTTATTCATATGCTCACTCAATTTTACCAAAACTTTCTGCATTGGATTACCAGGCATATGCATCTATATAAGAAAATAGCATTGATCCCTTTTTGTCTTCTCCTTCAAGAACCTTATAGACGGCAGGGCCAAGGCAGAATTCAGGCATCCTTGTGTCAAAATCTTATGGTTACACTAATCTTTATATGTTTGCACTTCACTCTCTATAAATTAGGATGGAGGAAAGGTTTATAAACAGAGGAAAGACATGAACCTGTGTACTTCTCAGATGTCAGCTAGAGTCTCCCTCACCCTTCAGATTCAGGTAAGATTTAGATCAAACCCCCATGTCCTTTCTGGGGGAGTACCATGCCTTTTTGGGACTTCCGTGAAATATCGGGATTTATGTTTTTATGGTTACCTCGGCCTCTAAGCTCCCACATCTGCTATATTCTGTTTAGGCATCTTCTTGCCATTCTGTACGTGCTGCTGTTGTTCTGTATCTCACCAAACCAAACACAAAACTTAGAACTTTTACTTTATTGTCACACTGTAAACCCCCACAGGTGGCATCTGTATATATGGAACACTTCTCTAAAGAGGACAGGGTTTGTGAAGTTCATAATAACTCTTAAGGAAAATTGAGAAGAAACTATGTTGGCCCAGGACTGAGCAGTGATCTAATCACGAGTTCACAGTTACCCCAAAAGACATGTTTGGGGACTTCTCCAGCAATATTCAACATGCAGAGGGCGCATGGAAGGTTTCACTGGCTCAGGGTTAGAGTTCAGTGGAGGGAAGGAGCATAAATGAAGGAAAAGGGAACAAGAGATTTTGAGGGTGTTGACAAGAATGTGGTTTAAGTGACAGATCTAGGCTGATTTAGGCTATGGATAAAAGCTGGTGGGGTTTTGAAATGTGGAGATTTAATGGTCTCTAGTGCCACCTGTTGCCCAACTAAATGAAGAACTACCGACTTCTCAATCCCTGAAGAACTGTACACCTGGAGATGAGAAGAAATGCCTGATTTTAGCAGTGTCCCTGAAAACAACACCCTCCCAAGGCTGAGCTGGGGGCAGGGTGGGAGGTAGTAGTGGGCAGTTCACCTGCAGTGTCATCTGCTGCGGACAGCAGAGAAACAGCCAGTTTAGAGGAAGCTGGCTGCCTGTCCTCTGGACTACCTGAGGACCAGTAGTCCCAGGCAGGCTGTGATGCAAAAAAATGGTGCTTTTCAGATCTATATTCATATTCTACTATCTATGATTATTTGTATTTCTTCTCCCAAGTGTGAGGATCTCTGTTACCCACCTATCTGGTGGTGGTAATGACCCAGTTCTAGTTTTTCTTTCATGTATGCTTATTACCTAGAGGAAGATGTATACAGTAAATATAAATTTAAAACTCTCTTCAAAAGGTTGTATCAGCACTTAACGTTTTCAAGGAAGAGCACTTAAAAAATGTGAAACCATCATTATCTCATGAATTCTGTTTTTAATAGAAATTTAAAAACCAGATGCCTATGGTTTGGATGGTGCCCTTTTTCATTTTCTTCTGTACAGAACACATTCATTTTAAGCCTAGTTCCCAGACCTTGTGGTTCTTCCATCAGACGTTTATGAAGGTGCCATGGAATCCATAAGGCATTTGCACAGGCACCTCTGCTCAGCCCAGTTCTTCAAAGTTCTTGGCATCTAAGACTAGGAGAAAATTGCTTTTATTCTAGAAAAGGGAAAGCAATACTGGAAAAAAAAATTTTTTTGCTATCACAAATCTGGCTGTCTCCTCCACTGGGCTATAAAATGATTAAGGGAGAGACCATGTGTTATTCATTTTCCTATCGATGCCCAACACCTAGCACAGTGCCTTGCCTATACATTCACTAAATGTTTGCTGAATTGTTGAATTGGACTGAAAAGGAGATAATGCCTGAAGAAGTTCATGACTAGAGAAAAAAAAAGTTGTTTATATCAATCAGCTTCATAGGATCTCTTTGAGTTTAGGATCTTTTTACTAGTTCCTCTTCAATCTCCTGAGACATCAAAATTCTTTCTTCCAAATTTGAAATGCCTCCATTTTGTGTTACTCTGGAGCTGCTCAAAAGGTAGCATTGCAAGGCAGACTGAGATTTGTCCTGGTATTATTATAGGAGTGGCAAGTACATAGTGTGAGAACTAAGTCCTCCTAAGCCCATGGCAGACATTACAAATTGATGATCACAGCACATTTCTCACCAAACCTGTAAAAAGGCTCAGAATCCTACACCCTAATAATTGATCAAAACTGGTAGTCCCAGTGAACCTATTTGCCATAAAATTGCCCTAGATGAGGAGTTACATATTAACATTATTGAGACACTAGGTCACAGCTTAATGACCATATTAGATTTTTGGGTCACTCAGTTGAAATTGGCAGCACATATGGTGGTGAATATTAGACTAGAAGTCAGAAGTTTGGAATTCAAATACTGGCTTCACCACTATGAGATCCAATGCAAGTCTCTTTCAACTTTCTTAAGTTACAAATTTCACATGTATAAATGGTATCCCACCAAGTTGTTTTGATGAATAAATAAGATAATATGTATGAGAGTAGTTTGTAAATATATTTCTATGCAAATATAAATTAGTATTATAGTTCTATAAATAGAAATTTAAAACAAGAATAAAGTATGGGTTATGACAAAAAAGATGCATAAGTAGTAAGGAGAGGAAAAAAAGAAAAAAAGTACAGCAATGGAATCAAGATAAACTATTGACAGCACCACTAAATATAACCCTCAAAAGGCTCAATGCTACTTTTCTGACTATGGACAGGGAGATACATTTACCTGGTTGGAGGTGATCACCACAGAAAGAATAACCCCGCCATCTTCTTCATTCAGAACCAACAAAAACAGGCTCTGAGGGATAAAAGCCATCTTCTCTCCACACCTGTAAGTCCCCAAAAGAGTTTGTGATAGAAACTTAGTTATGAGCTGGAAGCTTTCTATAGCTTTTATCCCTCTCAGCATGAATTTGGCTGTCAATATCATATTCCAGTAGTAAAAGAATCAGGCTTACTGAGTTAAACATAGGAGAGACAGAGGGAGCTTTTGCAGCTGCAGATTCCATCATCATAAAACACAATTTGTGAAATTATAATCTCCCATCAACCTGAAATATAGGTGTCCTAACAACCTTAACCCCATGATTTCTCTCAAAATAACATTAAGAATAGAATTATTTTTCTGGGCTTGTGGTTCATTTAGATTCCTTAGAGGGAAACATACCCCTAACCTAGGTGATTCCATGGTCCTCAAACTTAATAAAAATAAATGGCTGAGCTGCTTAAATATTCAAGAATCTCAAAGCTACCTTAAGCAAAACAGAAACTAATTCAAACGGCAGAACAGGTCTTTTAAGGGCTAAAAAATGGGAAGAGATTTTCATTACCTTCAGCGTCTGGTTCACCACGTCAACCTTGACCACAGAATCCCCCACCAAATGCCGCAAGCCACAGCCATCGGGAAAAAATGACACTTTTTGCCACTGAATTGGCCATAGTTGATCTGGGGAAATTCAATACCTCCTTCCTCCTCTAAGTTCTCAGGATGTAGAGTTTCATAAGAGTATCAAATCTAAAAGAGGTCCCAAAAAGATTTGTAGTGATTGCTTAATTCTCACTTATTTTCTTCAATGTAGATCCACGTGGGGGCTAATACCCTATAAGAGTTTGTGAGAGGGCTTGAAAACTGAGGTTCTATGTCATTTTTATATTGTTCCTCTTTCCATCATGTATATGAATGCATAAAAGAGTATTTGGTTTTGTGACTAAGCTGTCAAATGGCATAGGAGGTAGAAATGGGCTTTCTATTCTACTAAAGCTAAGACATTGGTATGCTGCATAATGACATGGGTATAGTAAGCACAAATTATCTAAAAGGTAGGGATGGTCAGTACCAATCTCAAATATTTAGACGTTTCACAACCATTAGAAATTGCATATATCTGTTTCAAAACTCAAAGGGGATAGAGGTAAACAGTGCTGATTCCCACCCAGAATTCTGCGGTTCTTGTGCAAGCAGTGTGTCGTGACCTCAGCTGAATGTTATGAAACTTGTTCTGCACCAGCACTGTGGAGAAGAACCGATGAATAAAGTTCAAAATCTTAGTCTAATGTCCGTTCATAGCATACCTTTCCATCAGCCTGTTTCATAGCACTGGCTGAAGAATAGGACAATGGGCTGAGGTTCTCTCCTTCAGGGGCATTCAAATTGACATGTAAGGACAAAACAAACCTTCGAGGATAAGATCTAGCTGCTGAATTATAGACCTGTTCAGGAGAGGGAAATAAACAGATGAGAAAATTATCATTCATAGAATAATAGCATGTCCCAATAAATTAAATCCATTCAACAATATTGGCATTCCTATGTCATTGCATAAATGATAATTTTCATTCATTCATTTATTTACAAATATCTATTGAGTACCTACTATAGGCCAAACACAGTTTTAACACTGGGACTACAACAGTGAAAAAAACAAAACCTCTGGCCTCATGGAACTTATACTGTAGTGGAGAAAGAATGATAATAAATAATAAATAAAATGTTATTTCATTTGTGTCAAATGAACAAATGATTATATAGCCCAAGGTCTGATAGTGATAAGTGTCATTAAAACACATACTGCAGAGAGAGGGCCTAGATAGTAACAAAGGATGCTTCCATCTTCCGGTTTGGTCAGGACAGACCTCTGTGTGGAAAAGGGTTAACTTAGCTGGCCTAGGATGCTCAAACCCTGGACATTCTCATGAAAGACCTATTTTCATGACGGGCCCTTGTCTGGCATCTGGGAACTGAGCTCTTCCTTGGACTGTTCTGTCTGATAAGAGTATTTTCGCATGCCAATAATCTTTTATGCATTCATATACATGATGGAAAGAGGTACAGTATTAAAATGACATAAAACCTCAGTTACCAAGCCCTCTCCCAAACTCTTACTGGGTATTAGCCCCCTCACTGACCTACACTGAAAAAAATAAGTGAGAATGAAGCAATCACTACAAATTCTTGCGTCACACTACTAGTCTGTCCAGATTGTATATGCTAATAATGTGACTTGTAACGAACACCTGCTTTCACAATGGGATCTGGAGTTTTAGTGACTGAGGTGACTTATGTGGGGCCGATATGTCTATGAGTGGAGCTTCTGCAAAAACCTTGGACAACCAACTTGGGTGAGCTTTCCTGGCAGACATTTCACACATGTTGTCACAGTGAGTTGCTGGAGGAATTAGGTGTGTCCTGTGTGGCTCTACTCGGAGAGGACTCTTGGAAACATGCACCTGGTTTCTTCCAGACTTCATCCCCTGTACCACTTCCATTTGCTGATTTTTCTGGGACCTGTGGGTCCTCCCAGTGAATCATCAACGGGTGGACTTGGGGACCCCAACACAGCCTCTCTGCAGAGATGATGTTTAAGCAGGATAGCCTAATAAAAACAAGTGTATTTCTTCTGACAATAAGAATGCTTTAGGGCCGGCCGAGTGGTGCGTTGGTTAAGAGCTGGCTTGGGATGCCAGCTCTGAGCAGCAGGGCCCTGGTTCAGATCCCACATTAGGGCCTGTGACGATGCACCCTCCACAGCTAAGATGGTGAACAACAGCTCGACCTGGAGCTGGGCTGCCATGAGTCACCAGTGATGGTGTAAGCTGCAGTGAGTCTGCAGTGGGCTGCCGTGAGCTGCCATGAGTAGCCAGCAGCCAGCATGAGTGGCCAGCAGCTAGCGTGAGCTGTCGTGAGCAACCATCCGGTGGCCGGTGACCAATCTGCCTCAGCTGGGAAGAGCACAATGATCACAATACCAACGTGGGCCAGTGAAGTGACATCCTCCACAACTACACTGAAGAACAAAAGGACAGCAACTTGTCTGTTCCCCTTCCTCGATCCCCCAACGCTGTTCCCCTCCCCCAACTCCCCAGTAAAATCTTAAAAAAAAAAAAAAAGAATGCTTTAGGCACATGTTCCTCTCTTAAAATATTATCAGATGTAGAGCAAACGGCCATTTCCTTCCATATACCTAGTCAATATTCTGTCCATCTCATATAGAAATGTTTATACTGAGTAAAAATGTAATGCTATTTTTAAGCTGCATAAAGACTTAGCTCTTAAAAAATTACTCTTAAATTTATTTAAACATTTTTTTTTTCTTCTGCAAAACCATAGCTGAACCAAGAGACTTCCATTAACGGTAGACTAGGTAATGTGGATCAACTGTCCCATTGAGAACAGCTAGAAAAGCTGGACAAATGTTTAAAACAGCTGTTCAAAGGCACATGAAAAGATCCCAACATCATTAGTCATTAGCGAAATGCATACTAAAACACCTCACACTCATTAGGATGGCTACTATAAAAGGTTTTTTTTTTAAAAAAAACAGCAAATAATAGTGTTGGTGAGAATGTGAAGAAATCGGAACACTTGTGCATTGCTGGTGGGAATGTAAAATAGTGCAGCTGCTGTGGAAAGCAGTTTGACAGTTCCTCAAAAAGTTAAACATAGAATTACCATATGACCCAGCAATTCTACTTCTAGGTAAATACCATAAGAGAATTGAAAATAGGGACGCAAGAAACAGAAATAGTCTAAGAGACACAGAGGAAAAAATGATGATTGCTAGTTGGAAGGGGGTGGGGATGAAGAAAAAGGGGAAGGGAAAAGACAATATAAACTGGTAACTACAATATGGCCTCAGGGATAGAAAAGACAGTCTGGGGAATACAATCAATAATGTTGTAAATATTTTTTAGGGGGCCAGATGGACTCATGTCTTGTTAGGGAGACAACTTCATAGTCGGTGTAGAGGCCTGACCACCGCACTGTACATCTGAAACTGATATTGATTAATATTATATGTCAACTATAATTTTATATACATGTAGTCATGGGATGTGGAGTAGAGTGTGGGAATGGAATCAGTGGAATTGTAATAGATAAGCATGATATCGGGGGTGGGAGAGCAGTGGATGAGGGGAAGGGGGTTGTCACTTTGTGAGGGGTGAAAAGGATAACTATTGCATTGTTTTGTACACCTGAAACTAATAATAAAATAAAATAAAAATAGGGACACGAGGATATTGTAAGGATATAGTTACCCCAACTCCAGCGCTACTTGACCCTAATGAGAAAAGATTTTTATGGTTTTGAGAAGCTAGAGAGACAAAAGTTAGAATTCAAGGTCTGCCAATAAGGCAAAACCCTGATAAACCTCTGGTTCTTTAGGTCAAGACCCCTTAGGTCTGCACCTTAAGAGTAAGAATAAATAAGAAATAGTCCAGCAATTGCAGGGACTGTATCCTGCTTTGAATTATGTTAATCCCTATAACCAGATGAAAAATATCTGGAATTGATAGTGTACTCTAGCCATCTGCCAGAAGCAAATGAAATTATTCCCTAAAGGAAAATAACATCATCCTGGGTCTCAAAATATCTCTACAATTTTTCAAACACAATATGCTATATATAATAAAAATATGGTTATATATTTATATATTTTTAACCAGCACATGGTTAAAAGCGCTAAAGAGCATGATTTAAAAAATAATAAGAGGGCCGGCTGAGTGGCTCAGTTGGTTAAGAGCTCACGCAAGAGTGCGAGCTCTGAGCAACAGCGGTTCGATGCCCCGCCCGAGCTGAGTTGCCGCTGAGCTGCCAACAAGTGGCAGAATGGCTCAGCTAAAAACAAAACAAAACAAAACAAGATAAATGACAAATGATAGAAACAAAGCCACAGGAGATCCAGTAGCAGAGTTATCAGACTTAAACTATTCTGAATATGTTGAAGGAAATTCTCTCAAATCGGGAACTGTAGCAGAGAACTAGAAATTATAAAAGAAAACCAAACCAAAATGTTAGAACTGAAAAATGAAATGAGTTTAAGAACTTAGTGGCTACATTTAGCAGCAGAATAGACAGACACAGCTGAGACCTGCACAGAAATGTTTATAGTAGTGTTATACATAATTGCCAAAAATTGAAAGCAACCAAGATATCTTTCCATAGGTGAATGGATAAACAAAGTGTCATAGAGCCACAAAACAGAACATTATTTAGTGATGAAAAGAAATTAGCTGCCAAGATACTAAAAGACATGGAGAAACCTTAAATGCATACTGCTAAGTGAAAGAAGCCAGTCTGAAAAGGCTATGTATTACATGATTCCAAATATATGACATTCTGAAAAAGGAAAAACTATAGAGACAGTAAAAATATTAGTAGTTTCTGGGGTTAAGGGAACTGGAGAGATAACAATAGGTGAAATACGGTATTTTTAGAGCAGTGAAATTATTCTGTATGATACTATAATGGTGGATAAATGACATTATGCATTTGTCAAGATCCACAGAACTGTACAATACAAAGAGTGAACCTTAATGTAAACTATAGAATTTAGTTAATAAATATGTATCAATACTGATTAATCAGTTGTAACAAATGTACCACACTACACAAGGTATTAATAATAGGGGAAACTGGGGAGATAAGTGGGAAGGATTATATGAGAACTCTATACTTTCTGCTTGATTTTCCTTTAAACCTAAAACTTCTCTAGAAAACATAGCCTACTCATTTTTTTAATCGATAGCAAACAGCATACTTAATGGTAAAATGATGAAACTTTTTCCTGTCAGACTGGGAACCAAATAAGGATGCCAGCTATTACCACTTACATTCAATATTGTACAGGAAGTCCAGTGAAACAAGGCAAGAAAAAGAAAACCAACAATTACTTTGGAAAGGAAGAAAAGAAACTGTCATTACTTGTATATGATATGATTATAGATGTACAAAAATCTGAAAGAATCTATTAATTATTAGAATATATAAGTGTAATTACAGCAATACTGAATATAAGATCAATAAACAAAAATCACTTGTATTGCTTTCTAACAGTAGTAACATAATTGAAAGCAAAAGTAAGTACTTTAAATGCTGTTAAAAAACCAAATACCTAGGAATAAATTTAACAAAAGATACACAGAAAACTGTATGACACTGAAATTTTAAAAGTCCCAAATAAATGGATAAAAGGATATATTGTGTTCATGTACTAGAAGGCTTAACATTGTGTAAAGATGTTAATTCTCTCTCAAACTGATATACAGATTCAGAGCAAATGCATTAAAATCAGACAAGATTTTTGTTTTTGGTGTGTGTGTGTGTGTGTGTGTGTGTGTGTGTGTAAACTGACAAGCTGACTCTAAAATTTATACAAAAATGTAAAGGGCCAGAATGGTCATGATGCTCACTATGGAAGTAAAATTAGGAGGACTTGATCTATTAAACATCAAGTTTTTTTATACAGTAATAGTAATTAGAACAATGTGGTACGGCACAAGTGTACATAAGTGGCCACCGGAACAGAATATACAGTCCAGAAACAATGACACATATATATGGATACTTAATTTTTCAAATTAAAAATTCTTCTAGAAGATAATATAGAATATTTTCATGACTTTAGCATGGGAAGATGTCTAAAACAAGATACACAATGTTTTATTCATAAAGGAAGAGATTGATATATTGGACAATTTCTGTTTATCAAAAGGCACCATAAAGATAATCGTTTTGTCTTGTTTCTTTGTTGCTTTCAGTTTTATATCCCACATATGAGTGAAGTCATATGGTCCTTGACTTTTTCTGTCTGACTTAGCATGATAATCCCAAGACAAAGAAAGAAAGAAACAAAAATTCATAGACACAGACAACAATTTAGTGGTTACCAGAGGGTAAGAGTGGGTAGAAAAGGGAAAAGGGGGTCAAATATATGGTGATAGAAGGGGAACTGACTCTGGGTGGTGAATATATAGATGATATATTATAAAGACGTACACTTGAAGTCTATATAATATTATTAACCAATGTTACCTCAATAAATTTAATGAATAAAAATCTGAAAAAGGTATCTACAAAAATACCTGTAGCATTTCATAATTAATAGTGAATTATCAAACATTTTACAAATAGGATAGGGAAAACGTTTAATAAACTGCTATCATCACTTCTTTTCAACTTGAGGTTCCAGCTAGTACAATTAATGCAAAAAAGATAAATAAAAGGCATAAATATTGGGAAAAAAGAAAAAAATCTATCATTATCTTCAGGTAACATGATTGTATGCATTTAAAAAGTCCAAAATAATCTGTGGATCAAATATTTAAACTGTTAAGTGAATTTAGCATGATCTCTAAATATGAAGTCAGTATACAAAATCAATTATATTTTTATATACCAGCAAAAACAGAAAATAAAATTTTAAAAGATACTTTTACAAGAGTTTCAAAACACACTAAATGCCTACATTTAAGAAAAGATATGTAATATCCTTACCCTGAAAAGTATAAACATTACTGAGAGAAATTTTAAAAGACTCAGATAAATGGAGAGATAGTCCATGTTCATGGACTGGAGGACCCAGTATTTCTCACAATTGTAAAGATATCAATTATCCTCAAATTGATCCATAGTTGCAACATGATCCCAATCAAGGTTTTTTATTCTTTGCAAAAATTGATAAGATGATTCTACAATTTATGGAAATGCAAAAGGTCAAGAAAAACCCAGGCAATCTTAAAAATGAATAGAGGACTTATACTGCAGATGTCAAGACCAATCATATGGCTATAATAACATAAATAAGCTTAGTAAGTATAAGTAAACTTTAAAAGCAATTTTTAAAACGGTTTAAAAATAAAACTACAGCTAAAAACAATTTACATTACATAATCCAAGGAAAAATTTTACCTTGGATTCAATATCAGAAAAAAATGAAACATTTCAACTAGATGAATTGATACACTTTCGTTATCAGAGAATTATGGTTATAGTCCATTTTGCTTTCCCTTCCAGTAAATTTTAGTATGTTTAGTGCTCAAGTGTGATAAGCAACTAATCACAAGTGCTTCAAAACACCTCTTGGCTTTTTTTTACATGCTTTTTATTTATTAGGTATTAAGTGCTTCGAATTATTTTTTTAATATTAAATAAATGACAAAACTGTGCCTTCATTACTTTAAAACCATTTTCCCTTTTTATTTGTCAAAGAGGCATGAGAAACAGCTAAATCCAAAGCCAAAGACAGAACTTGGCTCGTTCAAAATTATTTTGACAATTCCTGACAAATCAGAGATGTTTACCTGATCAAGCCCTTCCCCAGCTTTCCTAAGATTCTGTAGTTGGTAAACTTCTGGGCTTCTTCCATTATCTTGACAGCACAAATCAATTATAACACAGCCCTGGTCCTCAAAGGCATTGATTTGATGAAAAGTAACAAAAGGTTTACTGTGTAGTACATCCCTGGAAGAAGCTGCAGGGGGAAAGACAAACAATGAAAAAGAGACATTTTATTTTCTTTTGTTTCCTTTAGGGAACAGATCCACCAAGCTCAAATTAAGATTTCCCCCCATTATGTGACAGTCCTGGTAGGTGCAAAAAAGTAGAATTTAGAATGAAGAAGCTAATATGCTTTGATTTACGCTTTGCTTGCTTAAGTCATCTCATATATTAATCAACATACTAGGATGATTTGATATAGCCAGGGGTCGGCAAACTTTTAAGACAGAAGAGCCGCCAGGGGTCAGCAAACTGCAGTTCGCAAGCCACATGCGGCTCTTTGGGTACCTACATATGGCTCTGAAGTAAAATTAAAAATGAAAATAAAACTATCATAGTTTTATTTATAAAAATGTTAAAGGATATTATTCACATAATGGTGATTATGTAAAAATATATTTATGGCTCTCGAATAATTTTTAAATTGTTGTGAGGGGCAGGATTGGCTCTTCCAGGGGTTGGCAAACTTTTGAGATGGAATGTACCCAAAGAGCCTCATGTGGCTCGCAAGCCACAGTTTGCCGACCCCTGATATAGGTCAATCAACTGTTACAACTAAGTTAAAACTCCTCATGAAATATGGTCCAATGTTTTGAAGGATAAATAATTCCTGGACTCTACTTACAGGGTTCAATAGAAAATACTGTTATTAAGTAACTTATGATAAATTTAAGTGACGAATTCTTTGAGAAATGCACTAATTATTCAAATGCAATTTTTTTGTACTCAAATTAGAGTACAGTAAATCTCTTTAAAAAGGTAAAAAAAATAGACAAATAGTGCTATCAATCAAGAGTATAGAAAGACATTTAACCAATGTGCTTTGTACGTTAGGATTATCATATTTACATATCAAGAAGTTGTAGAAGCAACTAATGAAAGAATCATTGCAATCATTACAGAAGACCTCTGCATGAACAACATCCTTTTTTGCAAATATTATGATATGGAAAAACCCATGCTAAGAGGGTTTCTAGATGCCATTTTAATTGCATCAGATAATTAAAAGGATAAATCCATTTCCTACAATTTTATAATATGCAAAATCCACTGTATTAATTAATAAGTAGCTAGCCCTACCTATCGAAGAAGGTAATATCCTTAATTAAGAGTCATGTAACTAAGGCCCAGTGAAGGTAAAAATCAACCTTTGTTTCCAATCATTTTCATGATAAATATACTCAAAATACTCCACCTGTCCAGTGTGCTTATCTACCACCTAAAACCGTGAATTATACTGGGGCTCCCAGCTTATTCCATCTGAAAAGGACTTTCCCTGAATTTTAGAAGTGATGATTTTCCATAGATTCATCTTCAGAGGCTTTTCTATGATGATCATGTAGTTCTTTGTCATTCCTAAAAGGTTCGAGCAAACAATGCAATGTTATTTGGTAAACCAGAGTTGTCTGAAATGTAACAGTTATGAGGTCTTGTCTGAATGCTTGCACATATTACTGCTGAACTAAACAAAGTCCAGCCCAAAATAATTCTTCACTGTTTCCCAGCTTTGCTATATATTTCCTTTTCCTACATAAAAAAGGGAACTGCTTAAAACAGCTTAGGTTGAATGCCCTCAACTTGCTTTTTATCCTTCTTTCGTTCTTTAAAATTGTTTTGATTTAAGAACAAAGTAAAGAAGCATAATATTAAAGTGTGATTTATGATCTGGACCTTTATCCCTTAATCCTTTTGCTATTTATACTGGGAGTAAAAATCCAGGAGCAAATGGATATAGAAGTTTAGAACGCAGAAGATAAATATTCTAAGAAAAAGCTAAAGCAATCTGTGTAGAATATGAATTTCTCCCAAAAAATATAATCAATATCTTTTCATATGTGAGTATTATTTGTGGTATTTAAAGTTACCTAAATTTTTTAATCCTGTCAATTAATTTTTTATGGTCAAATGGCTTTTTTAATTAAGACTTTTTAGAGTAGTTTTAGGTTCACAGTAAAGTTGAGGGGAAACTACAGAAATATACCCCCTGTCCTCATTTATACATAGTCACTGCATTGTCAATATCCTACACCAGAGTGATACATCTCTTACAACTGATGAACCTCCATTGACACATCATATCACCCAAAGTCCATAGTTTACATTATGGTTCACTATTGGTGGTGTCGATTTTTTAGTAATTGCTTGTACTAAAATAATTATATATTTTCAAGCAGTAAGTTGGCTAGAGTAAGTAGTATATGACTGGGCCAGCTGAGTGGCTCAGTTGGTTAACAGCACGAGCTCTGAGCAACAGGATCACCGGTTCAATTCCCACATGGGCCAGTGAGCTGTGCCCGATCTAAGCTGCCGCTGAGCTGCCAATAGGTGGCAGTATGGCTCAGCTGGTGAGAGCATGTGCTCCTAACGAAGTTGCTGGTTCAACTCCCACATGAGATGGTGGGCTACGCTCACCCACATCTAAGATTGAACATAGCACCTTGAGCTAAGCTGCCCTGAGCTGCTGACAGGCGGCCAAATGGCTCAGTGGTTACAGCATGCGCTCTTAACAACAAGGTTGACGGTTCGACTCCTGCATGGGATTGTGGGCTATGCTACCCACAACTAAGACTGAACCTGGCACCTTGAGCTGAGCTGCCCTGAGCTGCCACCACACGGCCAGATGATGACTGGACTTGGAGCTGACCTAGCTGCGCCCTCCACAACTAAGACTGAAGGAAAACAACTTGGCTGTCCCCTTCCCCAATTCCCCAATAAAATCTTTAAAAAAAAAAAAAAACAACAACAGTATATGACTAACTAGAATAAACTTAACCGGTATTAAAATGACACCTTGGTCTCATTATCACCACATTCTGATAAACTGTATTAACATAGGACTTGCCAAAGCTAGTCCCTCTGCTCCAGTGACATTAAGGCAGGCCCCATTGCAATTTGCCTCATCTCTGCATTCACCAAAGCTATGAAAAGGCTTCATACTCTCTGCAGAAGGAATAGAACATATCACCTGGGCGCCATGGATTGTATCCCCAAGGTCTACCTTCTCTGGAGGAACCCGAATAACATTATAACAAGAACCTGAAAAGTAGAATGTTCTGTCTTAACTGTTTTACATACGTTCTGAGAATAAAAGACAACCCTTGCATTTGTGGACTAAGCAGGAGCAGTTAACAGGTTTATGCAATATGCACGACACCCATATTTCACAAAGGGTTATTTTAAACATATTTGGCTATTAAAAATATATGAACTTTATGAAAGTCATTAGTTAAGGTCTTGAAACAACACACACAAAGTCATTGATCGACAGTTTCTTATATTTTAATGCTCTCACATGGCTATCCTCTTGCTCTCTAAAATGAACTCAATCCCTACTTCATAGGAAAGATAAGTAGCAGTCAGGAATATCCTCAAACTCTATTTGTCCCTCTCCCCACTCCCCAATCCCAAGAGCTACAATCTCCATTTGCATGCTCATACATGTCCAGCTCCTTCTCTCTGGATCCCTGGGGCTGCTATTGGTCCCATCTCACCCTAGCTCATCAACATTCATTCATGCAATCATTCATCTGACTATTACTACTTCTTCAAGAATCAACTCAGGTATCCATCTACATTGAGTAGCCTTTCCTGAGTCTTCTCCACCCCCAAAAGCATTCGGTGCCCCTCCTCTATGCCCTGATTATCTCCTATACAGTCATAGCACTTATTTCATTGTACTATAATTATCTACTTGTTTATGTTCCCAGTAGACTGGGAAGCAGATAAACAAGTAGAGCTTTTCAAGAGCAGATGTATCTGATTCATCTTTACCTTCTCAATTCCAAACAAGGATTTAGCATATTACACCATATAGCCATTGATAGATTTACTAACAATATATGTTTGTTAAATCATTCAGTGAATGAACAAATATTGAGGTCATATTGAATTATCTTCCTGGTATTAGAATTGCCAATGTAAGT